CAAATTCATTTTTCCCCAAAACCAATCCTGATGAGAGTGTAAAGTGTCATAGATTAACTTGCAGACCGATTGAGAAGTGGTCTTCTTCCACACGGGGAAATCCCTGCGGGAATGGGTAATAGGTATAATATTTATATGCTTAGCATTTTGCTCCCCCACAATAGAGCACAGTTTGGTGAAATCCCATCTATCTTGAGAAAAGAAAGCAGAAACAAGTTACTAGTATGGGGAGGATGAGAATATTTAGAGAGAGAAGACAATCCCCAATTAGCATTCCATAAAGAAATGTTACCGTCACCAATGTCCCAAAACATGAAATCACTAGCAATAGACCTAGCATTAACAACAGCTTTCCAGATCCGAGAATCACCAACCTTCCACAAAACCTAGGAAGGGTGAGAAAAATCACAGTATTTCTGATGCATAAAAGTGGCCCATAGAGATGAGCTCATTCTAAATTTAAGTCAGAGTTTACAAAGGTTTATTTCAACCGTGTGTTTTAAGACTTTAAAGCCAAAACCGCCAGCCTTCTTAGGCTTACACAACCTTTACCAAGAGCCCCAAATCTTCTTAGCATCATTCCCCACCCAAAGGAATTTATTGAAAAGCCTCTCCAAGACATTAATAACACTTTTCTTCAGATTAAACACCTGCAAAGCATATAGAGGAATACTCTGAAGCACACTAGATAGCAATGTTATCATGCCCCCAATAGAAAGGAAAACATTTCTCCAATCGTTAATTTTGCGCTTGATTTTATCAATAACATCATCTATATGAATCTATTTCCTCCTTCCCCTAATCTAACCCCAAGGTATTTAAGCCCAAGGTATTTAAGTTTAAGAGGGAGAGAGACATAGTGATAACCTATATAAGAAACCCCCCAATGAATAAGTTGCTGCTTAACTTGTTTGCCAAAATACATCTGACATTTGTCACAATTAAAAACTAGTCCAAAACAATTTTGGAAATCATTTATGGAAATCATTTAAATTTAAGAGCCTCATTAATTGTTTTAAGGCAAGTTTAGAGGCATTAGCAAAAATAATAACATCATGTGCGTAAAGTGAGAAACCACCATTTTGGCCTTATGAGAAAACTGTGTATGAGGGTGAATCAGTTGAAAATGATTGAGCATTATAGATAAATAATTAAATGCTAAAATGAAAATAATATGGGAGAGAGGGTGGGTCCCCCTGTTTAATGCCCCTGCAAGCAGTGAAGAAACCATAAGAATTATCATTAACCAACACAGAGTAATGATTGTTAGCCAACCATCTTTTAATCAATATGCAAAAACTGGAATTGAAACTTCTGGCCTTCAAAACTTTGATGATAAAATCCCAGCTAATAGTATCAAAAGTCTTCTTGATATCTATCTTGATATCTAATTTGGATTGTCACCCCTGCATTTTTTATCAAGATCTTGTAAAATTTCCTGGGCTAAGAGGATATTGTCAAAAATATCACGGCCTTTTATAAAAGCAGATTGATGTAGAGCGATGAGAGAAGGAAGATGAGGTTGTAGGCGGGCCACAATCAATTTGCTAATAATTTTTTAAACCATAGAAGTGAGCGAGATAGGACAGAAATTCTTCCAATGCAATTTATCATTAGATTTAGGTATATGAACTATCAAGGCGGCGGTAAAATAGTTTCCAGGATCTTCTCCCCGAAAAAAGCTTTGAATCGCAAGAACCACCTCTTTTTTATGATATCCCAACAAGAAAAATAAAAAGCTGAAGTGAAACCATCAGGGCCAGGAGCCTTATGGGAGTGAATATCTTTGGGGACAGCAAACTTCCATCTCGGAGGGGGGATCAAACAAAGAGAGGGAGGAAACCATATCTCTATGAGCATCAAACATTTCCGAATGAATATCAATGGCTGGCAGAGCATCATCATAAAGAGAGGTAAAATAATCAGCGACATTGGAACCAATTTGATCAACATCAGTAAAGACAACACCCTCATTGGTAACAATCTTAAGAATGACATTAATATTCCGTCGATGTTTAACAGTGGCGTGAAAATACTTAGTGTTTCGATCACCATTTCTAAATTAAATGTCACAAGTTTTTTGTCTAAGGAAATCTTACTCAATAGTGATTTCCTCCAAGACAATATGGTGAGCATGGGCTAACTTAGCAACAAGATCAGGAGTGTCGATCACCTGTGCCTCCAGTGCATCCACCTCATGTTGGGCATTCAAAACCCTGGAATGCACATTGCCAAAAATATCAAAGTTCCAATTCTTTAAAAAAGTAGCCACATTTTTATGCAATTGTCATAAAATAAACCAAGGGCTGCCACTCCACCGCGAGACCCAAGTATGTTTAATCAAATCAAGAAATGTAGGATGAGAATTCTAAACATTAAGAAAATTGAAATGAGAGCGAGCATGTTTAGCATGAAAAGTCAAGCTAAGCAAAATTGGATTATGATCTGAAGCAGCACGATTAAGATGCTTGACATGAATAATATTATAATAGCCTAGAAAAGAGGAGTTTCCCAGAAATCTATCCAGTCACTGCATAAGAAGGCCCCTCCTCCAAGTATAGGGAGGACCCGAGAAACCCAAATCATAGAGGCCAACATCGGCAATGTGCTCACAAAAACGATTGATGGGCTTTCAATAATATATATATATATATATACACACACACACACGACACATTGAAACAAGAAAAAATAAGTATCAATTTCATGAAAATCCAATGATTTCTTTGAGGATCCGTCGGTTAGACTAGCTATAATAAGGATTTAATACAGACAAAATAGTATTATAGTATCAGATATATTTCATACACTACAATCAAAGCACATTAATATAACTATAATATATTCACCGGTATTTGGACACAATTATGAATTTACAACAATGAGATTTAACATATCAAAACCATAAAAAATTATAAATACTGCAACACGAGACACAAGTAATTAAACAGGAGTCTACGCAATAATAAAACAATATTAATTACTTGTGAAATTCATCATGAACAAGAAATAAAGTCTACTTCAAATATATCAACAAAATTTAAAAGACATGACTAGAAAACATACAATTAGCTAAGAATCTAATATAAGGATAGCACCCCTAATAACGAAGGATACTTTTAATCCCTAATAAATAATAGTAATTTATCTCGAGACAAACTATACAAGATTCCAAATTTATCTGAAGCCCAACTACTAGCACATAGAGAATTGATTAGCAAATCCTTCATAATACAAGACATCTAATTCAAATACAATTATATGCCAATAAGCATAGTAAAAATTATTTAGTTATTAAGCTAGACATAGCCTAATTAATCTTAGTTATCTCACCATAGATTTCAATCCATCATTAGATAAGTTTATTATTATTATTATTAACATAAGAAATTGTTAGGCCGATTTAAAATTCTTTATATTAACATAATGAGATTATCAAGTCAAAGTGAAAATAAAAAATATTTGATTTCAAATTGGATAACAATATTGAAAGAAAGAGAAGCAGAAAGTAATGGAGAAGAGGAATCTTACCCTAGGCCTCGGCTACGGTAAGTTATTCGACGACTAAGGAGGACAGTTAACAACGAAAATGAAGACAGGAAGTGGAAAATAGAGTCTTTTATGGTTGCGAATGGGAGGCTCGATGGTGTAGAAAAGAGGGTTATGAGTCATCTGATGCCCTTGGTCACTTTAGTGTTATCAAAGCGCAATGCGATGCATAATGCTTTATTTTTGTTTTAAAGAGCAAAACACAAGCGAATCATTGCTTTTATTAACCAATGTGCTAATAGGTTATACAAAACTATTAATGTGTAAATATATTCATTAAAAATTATAAAATTAAAAGGATGATTTAAAAGTGATATAAAATACAAAAAAATGTGGTACAATCACTATCTTGAAGACAAATATTGAATTTAAACCTGTAAATTAAAATTTTGAATAATTTCTAATGGTTTGTTGCAATAATTAACAACTTGAAAATAATAACAAAAAACATTTAAATTAACTTCAGCGGTTCGATGCGAGCGCACCTAAGAAAAGCGAAGCAGGTGTCACGCGCTTCGCAACGCTTTGCTTGTGAAGGGCACTTCAAAGCGGGCTTTTAAAAACATTGGCTCACTGTCCCATTAAATAAAGCGGAGGGGCAATGCGACGGGTAGATGCCAAGGCGGGAATCGAACACAGGAAGATTGATCAAGAAGGAGGCATCAAGCGGAAGAAAAGGCAAGGCATCAAAATCAGAAAGGCGACTATGAGTGATCGTGAGATTCACACAATCACAGTTTTGGAACTACGAAAAGGGGAAGTTTGTGTGATAGCAAGAAAAAAAAGGAAAGTAATGGAAGGGAAGGAAAGGTTCACATCTTGATATCGGGAGAAGAGGTAAATTTCGGTTCTTACAGAAAGATGAGCAGGAACAGTGTAATTTTGGTAGTTTCAAGTTTGAGAAATGTACATGCATACCACAGAGTTCTTATGTACTAACGGATCCAACATCCAAAGTTAAATATTTACCCACCTTGATGTCACAAGCCTACGCATGAAAAGGTTTATTTCACTTTTAAAAAGGTAGGGATAGTGATATTTTTTATGTGACGCTAAAAATTTGAATGGCATGCATGTAAATATGAATCTTTAGGTGTTAGATAT